ATACATATATATACATATATAAAAATAAAACAAAAATTCTAAATTTCTTAAAAATTAACCAAAAAATAACCAAATATTTTACATAACCCAAAATAAACAAAATTACATTATATATATAACCCATTCTAAACACATCTATTACCCCAAAAACTAAAATAAACTTTTTTAAATACCATAACTAAAAAAATACAACATTACATATACATACATACATACATTAACATAATACCATTACATACATTACATATACATACATACATACATTACATATACATACATACATGCATTACATACATATACATACATACATACATTACATACATACATACATATACATACATACATTACATATATATACATAAAATACATACATACATACATATATACATATATTACATATAAATACATACATATATACATACACATACATACATATACATATACATACATTACATACATACATACATACATACACATATACATACATACCATACATTACATATACATACATTACATACATACATACATACATACATACATACATACATTACATATATATACATACATATATACATATAAATACATACATACATTACATATACATACATACATACATACATATACATATATACATGTACATACATTACATATATATATACATTACATATACATATACATATACATACATTACATACATACATACATACATTACTTACATATACATATACATACATACATTACATATATATGCATACATACATACATACATATACATACATACATACATTACATATACATACATACATACATTACATATACATACATACATACATTACATTACATACATACATACATTACATATACATACATACATACATACATATACATTACATACATACATACGATACATACATATACATATACATAATACATATACATACATACATACATTACATATACATACATAGATTACATATACATACATACATTACATATACATACATACATTGCATATATATATATATATATATAGAGAGAGAGAGAGAGAGAGAGAGAGAGAGAGAGAGAGAGAGAGAGAGAGAGAGAGAGAGAGGAGAGAGAGAGAGAGAGAGAGAGAGAGAGAGAGAGAGAGAGAGAGAGAGAGAGAGAGAGAGAGAGAGAGAGAGAGAGAGAGAGAGAGAGAGAGAGAGAGAGAGAGAGAGAGAGAGAGAGAGAGAGAGAGAGAGAGAGAGAGAATTTATAAGTTCACTACATTTATTTACTTTGAGAAATTTTCACCACCTTTACATCTAGTCAATATCAGAATATTCAAAAATATAGTGATAGGGTGGGACATGGGGATGAAGCCACTAGGGAAGGACGTTTTTGGTTCATAAGGTGATATCTGTGGATTTGCAGAATGGATGTGTCAAAAACAAATGTACCTGACAGAAAGGTTATAAAGCACTTACAATTAAATATTGTGGCAAAAGGAAAAAATGAATTAATGAATTGGACAAAATGTGTTAGATGCCAAAGGTTGTTGAGCATTGTATGCTAATATGGTAGTGAAAAGGGTAAAGAGGGAAGAGCAAACAGAGTAAGAAGGCCGTTCAGGACTGACACAAAGCTAGTATTTAATTCTTTCACACTTTCAGAAATGGACAGAAGGGAGTGAAGAAAAAAAGAAAGGGAAAGGGGGGAGAAAAGGCTGAGGTGATCCCATACATTATCTACATAATTGTTTTGGTATTAGGAAAAAGTAACTCAGTCATAATGAATTGAATAGCTGCACCTTGCTTTATAAGCAGGAGGGAAGTTCAGGCCAAGGGGTTGACATCTGACGGGCAAATGTGCACCGAGAACAGCGTTGAGATTTTAGGATTTACAAACAAAATACACACATCTTATACATGTGGGGGTTAGATTCTAATAGGAAATAAAAACAGCAATATCCTGAATGTGGTTTTACTTTGTACTGTAGACAATATTCAAGATGACACCAGTCCATATCCTAAAATCATGCTTCCTCCACAGACACTGGGGAGGAGATTTCTGCATATTGCAGGACTGTTCAATGAATGCAAAAATATACAATGGAGGCAATAAAAACATGTGTAGTTCTGAGCTTCAGGGGAAAATAAAATTATTCTCTTCTGCACTGCATAATAATTTTCCCCGAATAATTACCGCAAACCCAAAAATGAAGTCCATGTGACAAAAATGGGAAAGTACCACACACACTCTCGTACTACCAGGGCCTCTAAAGCTAAAGCTACAAGACTGGTAGTGTCATGCATTTTTAAAGAAATCCTCTACATGCACTTTCCCAGTAATTGATATATCACATAATGAAAAAAAATATTCCAATATAGCTCATATGATGAGCTAAAAATCCTGTTTCTCACAGCTCCTAAAAAATTAAATCAAATTATGGTCACTGAGAAATTTAACATTGTAGACATAATGTTAAGTTTGTACTTCCTTAGGTAAATCCTGAATACACTTTATAGCAAGTTTTTCTTGTTTCATCAAGTCTGCATGAATCAACAATGGCCACAATCTGAGGAGCTTTTATGGGGAGAGAGAGAAGAAAAAAAAAAAAAAAAAAAAAAAAAAAAAAAAATGCATCTACCATAATTAAAAATCAAAATGAATTGATTCTCTTTTTGTGTTAGTAGAGTACATGATTTTATTCCAGACTAGTAAGCTGCATGCAGAGTCAAAATATTTCTGATTGTGTTAATTCATCCAGAAGTTATGCACCCCTTAAACTTCATCCTTTTCTCAATCCTCTTACAAAAGATGAAATTTATTACATGATCTAATGCGTAGATACCTTTTATAATGGAAATTTCATGTGGCCTGAAACAAAAAACATACTCTGACTCAAAAAAATAAATAAAATATTTTAAAAAGTAAAAAAGAAAGAAAAAGAAAAAAAAAAAAAAAAAAAAAAAAAAAAAAGAAAAAAAAAAAAAAAAGAGGATGTTGGGTCCCCTGAGTAAGAATCTTATGCCTGCAACACCAATAATGTGGTTTGAATTACTTGCTGTACACCGAAGGATGGGAGAGGATAGAGCACGTAAGCTATGGAATACAGACCTAATGGTCTAACACTTGTATCCAATGCAAAAGAAAGCATTCATTTTCTTTTTGTTTGTTTTTTCGATTATTCTCTAACATAACACATAACTTTAAATTCTCTTATTAATTAAATGCATCAGCAAATCTTAGAAATAGCATATTAACTACATATGAGAATGAAACATGTCTAAAAGAAGTTGGGTCTCGTTAAAAAAGGTACCTTCTTGTCTGATCTCATACCATACCACAGAAACATCTGCGAACAAAATACCATATTTCATTGGTATATAATCTCCATTCACACCGTTAATCTGTATTTTCACACATTTATTTATTATTTATATGACCCGTTTTATATCTCTTAAACGTATGAAGTGAACCATACATTATCCCTTTAGGATAAGACCATACTAGAGAACAACTATGTTAATCTATCGGCGACTCTGCACGGATCGGGCCGCCCTTATTGCCAAACTTTATTATGAATGGAATGGATTTCCTAACACAAGAGGTTCGCTCCGTGTAGCACACATTCCGTGGTATTATCCCTGTCTTCTCTTATACGTGACCTCTGTCCTTTTATTCATGTCCCAATCAAGAAACTCACCCGTGTATGGATCCCATTAATCCTCCGCCAAACACAGATGATGGCTCTTTTTCTAATCTTCATTTGGTTTAAAGGACTGTGCACCAGAGGAGGTCGCTCTCCGACGGTTGATTTCCCGGTCGAAGCGTATCTGATTTATTTGTGATATAGTGCCTTTGAATGCCCGTGTGTATTACCTATCTTTACCCTCATACCAGTCTCCTTAATTCCACAGTGCTATTTTATAGTCTTTCTCTGTCTGCTCTGTTCCTATAGATACACTCCCTTCCCCATTCCCACGCCTGGCGTATATCGTGGACAGTCTCTCGTGAATGCTCTCTTCATTGCTCCTCCTAGCGGGCATTGTTAATATTGATACAACAAGAAAGCAACAGTCGCTTTGAGTGAGGACGTCTACTCTCTCTTTCCCGTCTGCTCTCTGCTCCTTCTCTCTACCTCTTACTGCTCTCGCTCTCCTCTCTCTCGTCATCTCTCTCTCTCTTCTCTCTCTCATTTGCTCTCATCTCTTCGGTCTCTCATCTCTCTCGCTCAGCACGAGGACTCCCCGGCGCCATCACATTACAGACGACACCACACCACCACCACACAACAACTTTCAACAATCATCGACACCCAATCAACAGCGTTACACACACCACACAATACCCGGAGCGACAGCGCCAGCACGACACAGACGACTGTGCGAGCAGCAAGCTACTAGCCGGTATCAGCGAAACACGATGAGGTCGCACCCTCCCAACCTATCTTACATGCTCTCACAGCAGCTCCGCCTGTAACTCAAGGCGAGCCCTCTAGGTAGTCACCACAATTCATAACCGACTCAGTAGAGATCTCTTCGATAGTCTGGCATCATTACCCTACCTATAAACTGGTGGACCAGCATAAGTTCATCCATTTCTGAATCATTCACCACAGCAATAGCCTTACTCAAACTAGCAGCGCCGTGTGTAACACAAAGCAGGTGCAGTCCCTATCACCGAGAGAATCCGACCTATTGATGGTGCCGCTGCTAGTGCGGAGCATGTTTCCGCCAGTACGTTGGGCATACCTCGCCAAATGATCGTACTGGCTCCGACTCTCTGCGTCGAACCACCACATCACGGTAATTGTTAGAAGAATATCTGAATTGCTTTTCCTCTACATACGACATCTATAAGTTGATCTATCCGTTACTGTTTGCCCTCACCTTAATTTCGTAGACGAAAAAAATTATAGAAAAGCGAATATGCCTGCAATCTTAATGAAGAATGATGATTAAATACAATATCAATAAATTGAGTAATAACAGTCCATTACGTGTAGCTCTCCCCTAGCGTAACCGATCTCA